GCGGGAAGAATCATTCCCGTCATTTCTCGAAGAGAGAGAGAGAGAGAGAGAGAGAGAGAGAGAGAGAGAGAGAGAGAGAGAGAGGGGCGAGTTCTCCGCGGTCGCCGCCCCCCTCCCTCTCTCTCTCTCTCTCTCTTCCATAAACGAAATGAGAATGCATGTTCCTGCGAAAGCGGGAAGATGCATTCCCGTTTTGTTTTTCGTTATTTCTTTATTTTTTTTGTTTTTTTTTTCCCCGTTTTCTTTGTTGTGTACCTTTTGCACGTTCGGATCGTGTTTCTTATTTCTTTGTTTTTTTTTCGTTTTTTTTTGCCCATTTTTTCCGATGTGTACGTTTTGCACGTTCGGGATGCCTGCACCCGGTAGTCCGAGCCTCAACACGGATCGGTGTACCGGTTGGCCGAGGCTCGGACTCGATAGCTGGACCAGGTATTGGTGGTTTAATGGTGGGCCCAGCGTTTGACGTTTCGACCTCGTTTTTCTTGTGGCAACGAGTTTCGGACAAGTTTCAGACTGCAAGGCTGGGGCCGTGTACTACCTTCAATTCCTTGTATATTCAATAGAGTGAAACTTCCCCACTGAGCAAAACATGCCACTGGGCAAACCCCCGCCCTTAGTGGAAGTGGAAGCGGACGAACCTTGCCGTACGGGAACTTCGGACGCCAGGCTCATGCAATCTTCTACAGGCCCAATATCAGAGAGCCTACCTAACAGGAGTAATTAGGCAAGGCAAGCTGGTGCCCACGGACACATCCTACCGTCCGTCCCCTAGCTTACCCAAGGCTAGGTGGAACTCTTTTTTTTTTTTTTTTTTTTTTTTTTTTTTTTTTTTTTTTTTAAGCTCCATCTATTGGTGGGGAGTAGCACCTGCTGGAAACCGGGTCCAACATCCCATAGATACAACCATATCCTCACAAAATGGCACAGACTGGGAACCGGGCCCAGCGTCCCATAACAAGTACCTTCAGAAAACGTTTTTTGGAAAAACGTCAAGGAATTTATGGAAACCTGCGTATACTACAGACCTTTGACCAACCGCTCATTGAACTGGTCATTGAACCTCCTCAAAAACCTCTTTACCCAACTCCAGCAAGACCTAGCTGTGCCCTGTTCCTATCCTACTAGCTAGCCCCCTCACTAGTACGACGCGTAATATCCACCCATCTACTAGGCCGTCGCATATCCTTGCAAACTCTCTCTACTGCCTTCTTCTTCCAGCGACGAGCCGACCTCCTCCACCACATAGTTCGCCGGATGAAGAAACAGCGGCAGAAGATGAATTCACAGAGTCTCACAAAGAGCAACAGCATGCAACAATCTTTTCCATCTCGCAACGAGGCGACCTCCTCCACCACATAGTTCGCGGGATGAAGCAAGAACAACCTACACAAAGGTCATTAGAGGTCCCTCCCACTTACCCCCTACTCTTCATCATCTTCCGACGAGCCGACCTCCTCCACCACATAGTTCGGAAGATACAAACAGTAGACAAACAACCTACCCAGTCCCGTAGTGGTTGAGAGTAGGCTCAACTATTCGTCTTCCTTCGACGAGCCGACCTCCTCCACCACATAGTTCGAAGAGGAGGAATAGAAGAAGTTCACTCACAAAGGGTAGTAATAGGTAGTAACAAAATCTGAAAGCTATAAAGGCATCTTTCTGAGAGAAAGCAACAAAACCAAACCCCAGGTAGGTTGACACTCAACTATCCCGCCTCAAACCGACATCGACCTCCCTCCTCAATATCAAGACTCTTCAAGGCCTCACACGCCCATCTGGTAGGTGACAAGGTAGCGCGACCTACCTCAAAAAACTCCCATATGTTAGGTTACAGGGTGGAACGACCCACCTCGGCTCCGACCCGCATCGTCTTGATACCATCCCCAAACAGCCACAAAACCACCTCCTCCCTTAGGCAGTTCCTTGGACCTCTTACCGGGCCTCCAGAGCCCTCATCACGCTCGAGTTACAGGGCAGCACGACCTAACCCGCAGCTCCGACCAGCATCGTTCCAACTCGGCCATCCGAAAACAAAGGAGTGGAATGCAGGTAGCGCAGCATCAACTGAACAGCCACCTCAAACCGGATTTCAGATTCGATGGCACTAAACTCTCCCAGAACTTTAATAGACAAGAATATAGCCTAAGTAGACAAGGACTTTGACCGAAATTAGCCTGTCACAACACGCACGAGGTTGGGTTCACCAACCAGTTTTTAGAAATAGATTTTAGCCAAATTTTGGAGACCATCACAAAGGCCCACAAAACCCAGGAATTGAGGAATAGAAATTAAGAAGTCAATCAACAATGATGGTGCTGAAAAGGATTTGGATTTTAGAAGAGTCAATCATATTAGAACTTATACGGAACTCAGACTAGCCGGAGCAACTTACATTCTTCTCTCAATCTACTCTCTCTCTCTATACTTTTCCTCATCTATCTCACTCATCCTCTCGCTACTCTACTATGTATAGTACGGGGAACACCAACCAAACCTGGATCTCTCCCAGCCTTCGGGGTAGGTTTGCACCACAGTAGTGGTGCGAGAGCACGGCTTGTATCAGTCCCTGATCACGGTGAAACGGGCAATGCTCGTGTGGAGCACTTGCACCTCCCCCTACCTTTCTCCGACCCTACATTAGTGGTGTTCAATTGCCAATATTGTAGCTGCATAGCAACCAACAACATTGGGCAAGGTCCTGCCATGCTGGCTTGGGGCCCCAACGGGTTACCTCTAGCTGGAAGGTCAGCAAGCATGACCAGGTAGGTACGCGAGGTCAGTGGAGATTGAACCCGTGACCTCCCGGCCTTACCACCTGGGCTAGGCCGGCAGGCATGTGTTACCACTTCTTTTTTTCTAAGAAAGGAAAAAGGTAAGCTAAATTCTTCTCTTATCTCTGTCATCTTTCTTGGTAGTACGCATCTATCTCATCCTCTCACTAGTCTATGTATAGTACGGGGGGAACACCAACCAACCTGGATCTCTCCCCAGTCCACGGGGTAGGTTGGCACCACAGCTGTGGTGCCAAGGCAAGGCTGTACCAGTGGCCAGGCATTGTCGATGGGGGAAATAGGCGGTGCTAGTGCTCAGCAATGGCCAGTCACTGCACCTCCCCCTACTCCCCCTCCCCCCCAACCGAGTAATGGCCAGTCACTGCACCTCCCCCTACCCCCCCGCAACCCCACATGGGCGGTGTCTAATGGCTAATATTGTCGCTGCATGGCAGCCAACAACATCAGCCAAGGTCCTGCCAATGCTGGCTTGGGGCCCCCCAACGCGTTATCTCTTGCTGGTAGAACACCAAGCTTGCCCAGGCACATATGTGACACCGACGGGATTGAACCCACGACCTCCTGAATGCAACTTCTGTGCCTTACCAACCGAGCTATAGGCCCGCAGGCCTAGTTACCTTTTCGCGCTCCTGTCCAACACCACAAGTAGGATCTCGCCACTCCACTCACCAAATGCACAAACGACAGAAATAAAAAAACGTGTATCTTTCCATCAGGTTGTTGTACATTCGTTCTCATTTTGCACAATTTGATAAGTGGTGCGACAGAACAGAAATAAAAAACGTGTATCTTTCCATCAGGTTGTTGTACATTCGTTCTCATTTTGCACAATTTGATAAGTGGTGCGGAGAGGCCAGTAGTGCCGAGTGATGCGTGACTCCCTGGAGACAGTTGAGGCCAAAGGACAGGGGATTGGTGTACGTAATTGCGGTTTAATCGTGCACGTGGCAGTTCTCGGTGTGTGGTTTTGGCGCGCGGTGTCGATTTGCTTGTCGTATACGGGCGTGGGCTTGAATGCTGGGCAGGTGCGGTGTATGAAGCCCGTGCAAGACTTGGCAGGTGCTTGCCACTTCTGGAAAGCGTTGTGTCATCCCTCCTTATTGCAGCCGTTGGTTGTCGGCAGCTATCGATGGTCCGAGGTACGTGTCCTCGATCAATCTTCGCGCCCCTCTCTATTGCAGCCTCCTCTTTTGCTCTTCTTGTTCGTTTACCTCTTGACAACGAAGCGGTCCGCAGCGATGAGGTGATTAATGGAAGGACCCTGCGAACATGGGGTTGCATCGAACATACACCATAGCTTGACACATCTAAGATCCGAAGGACACTACGGCAAAGATATGTCTGTGTGTGTGTGTGTGTGTGTGTGTGTGTGTGTGTGTGTGTGTGTGAGAGAGAGAGAGAGAGAGAGAGAGAGAGAGAGAGAGGAGCAAAATGTAGCATCGAGAAGGAGGGGGGAATTTTAGAGATGGAAAAGAGAGAGAAAGGGAGGAAGAAGTCATAACTGAGAGAGAGAGATGAGCGGAAGTACAGATATGAGTCATAGCTTCCGATCATCTCTCTCTCTCTCTCTCTCTCTCTGTGTCTCTGTGGGGAAGACTGAGGAGGATACAGAAGAGAAGACGGAGAGAGAGAGAGAGAGAGAAATTGAAAGCAGCGCTTAGTCTCTCCTGAGTTACTACGTTATCGTCCTTTTGTGATGCTGTGACACTGACATGCTACAGTCTTTCCACGAATAGAACACACGTTCATTATCGCTGTACCTGAAACGAAAGTTGTCCCAAATACCGCTAGCAATGACCGTGCGCTCTGTTCGGGGGAAACTGGCAGCCTGCTAAGGTCTCTGTACTGGCTTATCACAAGGCGCTTGTTTCTCCACTTTTTTTTTTTTTTTCCCCTTTCCCCCTCCAACGTTATGTGTTGAGTGATTGATCGACATACTTTCGACTGGCAGCGACTCTTGAGAGTGTTGCTCCCGTACATATGTGTGACAATATATAGAGTTGGTGAAACTCCGAGGAAACAGTCTTGTCTGTCACAGCCCCTCGTTTATTGTCCTCTTCTCCCTCCCTCTCTGCCTAAGGTTTGTACCGGGGACTTCTGTTTGACGATATATATCGTCACATAAATATCAGAGCGCAAAAGCGAAAAAAAGAAAAAAGAAAAAAAATGAATTCGTTGTTTTATCTTCTTCCTTACAACTCCCCCTGTTCAGAACCTCTTTTGCGTACAAGGCCGCCCATGACGATATAATAGTCCACCTGCAGAAGGTAGTAACTATACTACCTCAGGAGGCTTTACTGTAAATGTCTTACAGTTAGCGTTTCACGGTCGCCACCTTCTTATGCATCATGCGACGCCAGGCGATGACCTCAATAACCATCCTCATATTTTTGCCTGTATTTTACACAGACCCGGGCATTATATGGCACTCATTCGTGCAGCTGCCCAGTGGGAACTGTGGGACAGGTCATTTTCGACGTGAATGAATTTTTGCGAGCGTTGTCGAATCATACTTTATTCTGGATTATTGACCGACTCTCGTGTGACACCTGTCGGGACAGAGACGCGGTGCGCCTTGGCTGTGGAATGCATCATCTATGCCATAGCCATTATCAATCTATTGCTACTGCCGCCGTCTGTCCTGAAGGGTGTCCAACATTTCTTCATTGTACGCATCCCTATCACCCAGATATACGTTGTCCCTATTGTGCCCAAGGACGCTATCAGAACTGTATGATGCCGCACTGTGATGAACGTCCTGCCGTGTTTTTGACATGTGGACAACACGTCCTCTGTCAGGACTGTTTTGATGGGATGGTTCGTGCTAGCCGTCCTGCAGAATGCTGTGCTGGCGCAGCTCTCCTTGGGCATCCTTGTGAACATCCACATCATCCTCACCGTAGCTGTCCTATCTGCCGAGGTGGAGACAGGTAAAGAAAAAAAGAAGAAAAGAAAAAGAGACAAAAAGAAAAAAAGAAAAAAGAGAAAAAAAGAAAAAAAGAAAAAAGATACGTTGATCTGTGGGATGTGTTATTTGCTTTGTGATAATTGGGTTATCTTTCTTTCCCTATCTTTCTTTCCCTGTCAGGTTTGGGTTCCTCCTTTTCTTTACCTCTTTGCCTTTTGGCTGCGTGCAAGTGGTCCTTGTGACACACGGGGATGGGGGCAGCCAGCGCTCAACCTGTCATCCACGTGGCTGGCCTTGTACGTAAGAGGTTATGAACAGGTGGAGCTTTCCTTACCTCTTCCCCTTCCCCTTTTTTCCTTTTCCTTTTTTCTTTCCCCCTTTTTGCGCTTCTGCGCTCTGATTCACAATGTGACAATATATATTATATATCTATTGGCAGATTTTACCTTCCCTCTTTTTTCTTGTATCTTTTATCTTTTGTCGGCCATTTCTCCCTGGTGTGGAATGGCATCTGTATATTGCGGGCCCTCTGTTGTGATTCCGTGTCTTTTACTTTTGATTATTCTTGTTTGGATTGTTACTCCGTATATATCTGTTGGTAGTGTCGAAAGCTTTATCTGTCCTACAAGTGAGGTTTGGTTTCCTCCTCCTGTTCTTTACGTCTTTGCCCTTTTGGCTGCGTGCAAGTTGGTCCTTGTGACCCACGCGGATGGGGGCAGCCAGGGCTCAACCTGTCATCCACGTGGCTGGCCTTGTACGTAAGAGGTGATGCACAGGTGAGGCTCTCCTTCCTTCCTTCTTTTCCTTTTCTTCTTTTGTCTTTGTCCGCCTTTGCGCGCCTATTCACAGTGTGACAATATATCGTCAGACGGAACTGGCCGGTAACCGAAGGGAGGGAGGGAGAGAGAGAGAGAGAGAGAGAGAGAGAGAGAGAGAGAGAGAGAGAGAGAGAGAAGACTCAGAAGAGGACAACAAACGAGGGAGGGGCTGTGACGCACAGACTGTTTCTTGGAAGCAGTTTCACCTACTTACTCATCAGGAGGAGGCTGAACGCTCAAAAACAGTCTGTCTGCAGAGTCCCCTACCCAATGTTTGATATTGGAAGTGATAATCCCCCTAACCCTGGTTGCGGTTAAGCATCAACGAATATGTGTATCTATATATAGTATCTATATATATCATCTACTATATAGATGTATGAATCTTTGTCACGGAGGATAGAAGCTCACTGCAATACCGATAGCAGCATCCTTCAAAGCAACGCATGCACACACACACACACACACACACACACACACCCAGAGAGAGAGAGAGAGAGAGAGAGAGAGAGAGAGAGAGAGAGAGAGGGTGGAGGGTGATCGTTTGTTTTAGAGTCCTTGCTCTATCTATGTCTGTCCTCCTTGGCCCAATCCTAACTAACGCGTGTGCTCAAGCGCCCTATTGTGGAGGTGAAGAAGATTCCTAAGCGATTATTTGTCAATTACCACCCTTCATCCTGCATCCTTTTCTTTTTTTCTGTTTGCCCTTTGGACCTCTGACTATCAGCGACTAACCAAATTTTTCTCTGTTTGCCCTTGAGCGATTCAGCTATTTTTTTCTGTTCGCCCTTGGGACCTCTTAATATCAGAGAGGTTCCCAATTCATTTCATTGGAACCCGAAGGCACAGCTGGTCGCTGTCCTTCACATTTCCTGTTGTGCTCGTGATACAGCGAGTCATCTATATTTTCTTTGTTTGTGCTAGTAGCACGTGATTCGTGTTTTTTTTTTTTTTTAATACGATGTAAAATGTAATTCATAAATAATATATATACGACTAGGTACAAACAGAGGGGGGGGAGGAACAGACACAAAAAAAAAATTGAAGTAGTGCGCACCCGTCTTGTTGTATAAGTAGATGCGCTCTCGCATCGAAATTTGGGTAATTTGGTAATTTGGTAATGTAATCGCTGAACCTTTTGCATATGTGGCTGTAGTAATGTAAACGAAATAATGGAGTAAAAATTACCCATGAATGAGGGAAAACGAAAATTACCCATGAATGAGGGAAAACGAMATAGTGGGGTAAAAATTACACCCATGAATGAGGGAAAACGAAATAGTGGGGTAAAAATTACCCAYGAATGAGGGAAAACGAAATAGTGGGGTAAAAATTACACCCATGAATGAGGGAAAACGAAATAGTGGGGTAAAAATTACCCACGAATGAGGGAAAACGAAATAGTGGGGTAAAAATTACACCCATGAATGAGGGAAAACGAAATAATGGGTTGAATTACCCAATCGCGTACCCATCAATCGTCTCAGTTCCTCTCCCATCGAATCTTCTCTTGCCTCGCCCTTTGTCTTGCTCCCTCTCTCTCTCTCTCTCTCTCTCTGTCGTCTTTTGTCTCCTGTTCTATTTTTTTTTTTTTTTTTTTTCTGTTTTCCCTCTCTCTCCCTCTCGCGTCCATCTCGTCGAAATCAGTATAAGAAACAGGATCATGTTGCAATCTACTTCTTCTTCCTCGTTTTTTATTTTCATTTTTTTTTTTTTTTTGTGCGTGTCATATTGTCTGAGTCGTTGCCACTTGCAATTTTTATTGAACGGTAATGAGTCGGCGAAAGCTCGATCCCAACTCCAGTCTGTCAAAGTCACCCTTTGTGGAGTTGGCGTTGAGGGAATAGAGAACACATGTAAAAAACATGAATAAATAGCGAATAGTCAATGCCGAAATAACTTAAAAGAAAGTAATAATGAATAAATAAATGAATAATAATATTAATAAATGAATAAATCATGAATAAAAATAAATGAATAAAAAATAAATGCATAAATAATTTAAAATAAATGAATAAATGAATGAGTAAATAAAGAGAAAGGTTGTAGGTACATGCTTTTTTTTTTTTTTTTTAATAATTTGGACCATTTCTTGATTTATGCGTGTCATCCTTGCGCATGTCCCGAAGGCTGAATAAATGTGTTATTGATCTATACATTTTTAAATAAGAACAGAGGCCGGGGTCCTCATAATCTGCCCGGTTGGTAAAGCCCCTGAAAAAAGAAAAAGGAAAATAAATAAAAATCACTGCAATCTAGCTATACAGACTAAACACACAGCAATAAGGATCACCTAAGGAACCTTAGGTGATCTTGCTATATACTATATAAAGTATAGCAGGGGCGAGGTCCCGCTAGCAAAGAGGATTGGATTAGGCGGCTGAATCTGGATGTGTTGTATGCAGAGATGCAGAAAAGCAGATCAATGACGATTTTTGCTGCACCTCTCCGCGAACACGTCCAGATTCAGGCGTTAAATCCAGTCCTGTTTTGCTAGTAGGACCTCGCCCCAACTAATAAGGACGCTACTGGCCTACGCTACCCCTCCTCTACTCTAATTCCCCATGCAGCGATAATGACCGGGCGTTATATTCGGGTGTGAAGACGGTAGTAAGTCCCAAATTATAAAGGACCCCAGGGCTGAGGTCCCACTAGCAAAGAGGATGGGATCGAGCTCCTGAATCTGGTCGTGTTTTATGCAGAGATGCAGAAAAGCACTTCAATCTCGATTTCCTGCACATCTCCATAATCTCGTCCACATTCAGGCTTTCGATCCGATCCTCTTTGCTAGTGGGACCACGCCCCAGATCCGCACGGCCATTTGAGCGGCGGGAATTGGCGAAGGGAGGTGGTCCGTGGAATATGCGTATTTTACTGTTTCAAAAAAAAAAAGGAAAAAAGAAAAAAAGAAATAGGATATGTACTTCTCATTTTTATACATCTTATTTTGCTATATTATTGCTATATTATAATTATTGCTAGATTATTATACGATCAGTTCGTAGCGACGTGGCGGTTGCTCCGGTCGCCGGTACCGTCTTCCGCCGAACACAAGCGCGCCCTCATTATGACTGCATTCGACCGGAAAGATGGCTTATATACATTCGTCGGAATCAGGGTGCGTTATGTTCGGGGGAAGACGGTAGCCAGGAACTGGTGTCTGCCTTGTTTTGTATAACTGTTGAGACCCCACTGATATTCCAGAAGCGAAGCAGCTGCACCTCTTCTACCCGTCTTCACCCGAATAGAACGCCCGGTCATCAGACCTGTATTTGGTGCAACTTTGAGTCTCGGTACAGCGATAAAGACCAGGCGTTGTATTCGGGTGTGAAGACGGTGGTCATCTTCTCGCCCTCGGTACTTCTTTCTGTTAACTCCCCCTCCGTCGCATCTTCTTCTGACATTCAAACAATTAGCACCTACGATGGGGAAGCAGCTACGATGGGGATCTGTGGGGATCTGTGGGGTCTCAGAGCTGCGGTAGGGATCTGTTGGAGCCCATAAATACGGACGGTAGGGATCAGTTGGATCCCATATCTAGGGTAGGGATCGGTTGGCTCCATAGCTACGGCAGGGATCGGCAGGCTTCCATGCCTACGGAAGGATCTGTGGGCTTCATATAGCTGCGTTAGGGATCTGTTGGGCTACCATACCTACGGTAGACGTCTGTTAGGTCCATATAGCTGCGGTAGGGATCGGCTTACGGTAGGGATCTGTTGGCTCCGTAGCCCTCCCTACCGTAGGGATCTGTGGGCTTCATGTAGCTGCGGGATCTGTTGGCTACCGTACCTACGGTAGGCATCTGTTAGGTCCATATAGATGCGGTAGGGATCTGTTTACGGTAGGGATCTGTTGGGTTCCATAGCTACTAGGGTAGGAATCTGTTGGGTACGGTAGGGATCTGTCAGCTACCATACCTAGGGTAGAGGGATCTGTAGGCTTCCAGAGCTACTACGGTAGGGATCTGTTGGCTCCATAATAACTACGGTAGGATGTGTTGTCAATATATAGCAGCGTTAAGGGGATCTGTTTGCTCCTCCTTTGGGTTATCAGGCCATTGGCTATGGCTCCTCCTTCGGGCTCCCAGACCATTGGCTATGGCTCCTCCTTTGAGTTCTCAGACCATGCGCTATAGCTCCTCCTTTCGGGTCTCAGACCGTTGGCTATGGCTACCATAACCGACGGTAGGGATCTGTTGGCCTCACAGTTACGGTGAGGATCTGTTGGCTCAGTAGTTTGGGCATTCCGGTAGTGAGTGGGGTATGACGGCAATTTGGCGGCATAAAAAAAAAACAATAATAATAATAATAATAATATAAATAAAATAAAATTGGCGCCAGTGACGTCAGTTCAATACGGAGGTCTTGAGCGCATGTTTTAGCGATTCCGCCGCCGCCGCCGCCGCCGCCGCTGCCGCCGATGGTCCCTGCCAATGAAGACTGTTGAGTGCACAAGTTAGCGGCACCGCCAGGGATGCATGCACGCCAGTGAATAGGGTTAAGTGCGTGTTAGCGACCCCGCCCGCCCGCCCGCCCGCCCGCAAATGAAGAGAGCTCGAGTGCATGGGTGTCTTAGAGGTAACTCAACCACGTGTATCTCTGGTTTAATACGTGTTGGAGCCACGTGTCATTCAGAGGGAGAGAGTGTGTGGGTGTGGTGGTTGCGGTTGATGGAGGGCCACGTGGAGCGGTTGATGTTGCTGCCCGCTGACGAATTTGATCTCGTTTGTGTCTTCGATCGAGAGAGGGAGTACCGTCTGTCTCGGAACCTAACGCACTTCCATTCTGAATGTATACAAGCTATCTTTTTGGTCTGGTACAGTCATGATGAGGGCGCGTTTTTTTTGGGCTCGGGGGAGGACGCTAGGGCAAAAGGGAAGGTGTGGAATGGGAGAGCGCGCAAGGCACAAATCAAATGATGGGGGTAGCATTGGCGATCGTGATGATGGGGTTGGTGATAATGCGTGAATTTCGGGTGAACGATGGGAAGACGGCGATTGCAAGGACTTTTCAAGTAGCAGGGAGTGTATGCGGGTGAATGCACCGAACAAGTGCAGCACTTCTCGTGGCTTCCGTTTTTCCTCCTGAACGTTCAGAGTTGTAGCACGATTTGCAGCTTATACCAGTTTTGAGCTATTGACGAGAGAGGGGCCAGGACGAAGGACGAGGCGGGAGAAGATTCCATGGGAGCTGTGTGTGTATGTGAGAGAGAGAGAGAGAGAGAGAGAGAGAGAGAGAGAGAGAGAGAGAGAGAGAGATTGTGTGTGTGTGTG